AAATGGATAAGTCGTTTGTCTCATACTGAGTTTCTAAAGGAATGAAAAGGCACTGGAAAAACGGGTGTTGATAAACTTGCTGGGGAAAAGTCTGACAACCTCCTGGATGTATTTTAATGGTTAAACCTGACATTATCTGGTTTAATTACACTTATAACATCGATTACAAAAATCGTCATATCATTATCCACACAAGTATTCACGGTTATTTTGCGTTATTACCTCTCTAGCGGGAGACATTTTAGTAAGTTTGATGTTGGGTCAAATGTTGGAATATTTCATACATATATTCACGGTTATTTTGCTGTTATTACCTCTCTAGCGGGAGATATTTTGGTAAGTTTGATGTTGGGTCAAATGTTGGAATATTTCACACATATATTCACGGGTTATTTTGTCGTTATTACCTCTCTAGCGGAGACATTTTAGTAAGTTTGATGTTGGGTCAAATGTTGGAATATTTCACACATATATTCACGGTTATTTTGCTGTTATTACCTCTCTAGCGGGAGATATTTTGGTAAGTTTGATGTTGGGTCAAATGTTGGAATATTTTACACATATATTCACGGGTTATTTTGCCGCGAGCTACTTACTTATCCAGTGTAGACATTTTGGTAAGTTTGATGGATAACAAGGGTCAAACGTATTCCACGCTGTGAAATGCTACTTGTGTCAGATGGCGACTTCTATGATGACTCGAGTGACAGCACGTTTCCAGAGTTGGTCCAAGTCAAGATCCTGTAATCTCAAATCAACACCGGTTTTTTACAGTGAAACCCTAGTAGGTATTTGTAATTTCTCTTCATCTGTTTATCGTTGATGGTATTTACTTTATGAGAAACATGAAACTAGTCATTTTGTTTTATTTTGTATGCGTGTTCCATACAATATTTCATTGTATTAATTAAGACCAGCATTTCTTGTAATTTGATTAGTACAACTTTTGAAATATCAGGGCTAATATTTCACTGCATAAAAATTTGTGAATTTCATAATTTATTCACGGAGTTGTAAGCCTAGGGACTTAGAAAGCTAAAATCTGGGGTTCGATTCCCCTCGGCTGATATAGCGCAAATAGCCCTTGCGTAAAATAACAACTATAACTATTTAGTCAATACTTCTAATTGTTATTACTTTTTATTTAGTTAATTGAAAAACACAAACCAGTTTCAAGTTTTCGTCATTATTAACTTATTAGATAAATCAAGGCTTTGTCCTTGTACACCGGAATGCACGTGTTTAATGTGATCCGTTAAGTACAATAAGTGGTAGCTGGAACTGACGTATGTTACAAGACTTATTATGTCCCATAAGCGACACTGGTCTTGCCAAAATGGGGCCATCAATATCTGTACGGAGTTTAATATTCCTCGTTTACTACCGATCGGTATACTCTTTTACAGCTCTCGCCGGAGTCGTTTGCGGATCTGTGCAACGTGTGAAACGACCCCCAATGGACCTTGTCGGCGTCTGTGACCTCTGCCCCCAGGAAGAGAAAGAAATTATTGCTCAGTTTCTCAACTACTGTAGAACTCCGCCGCTAAATCTACTGAATTATTCATTATTTGTTTAATGAAAGCTAAAGTGACGTGATTGTGTGTTATCTATGATAACGGTAACAAGAAGACATATTAGCACTTAGTATGCGCAATACTTTGAAACTCCCTCTCTCTTATATTACTTCGAAAACGAAATATCTGAAATAAATGTCAGTCGCCATCTTTTAAACTTACAGAAACATCCGAAACAATGTCAGTAACCATCTTTAAAGCTTACAGAAATATCCGAAATATGTGTCAGTAACCATCTTTAAAACTTACAGAAATATCCGAAACATGTGTTAGTAACCGTCTTTAAAGCTTACAGAAATATCCGAAACAATGTCAGTAACCATCTTTAAAGCTTACAGAAATATCCGAAATATGTGTCAGTAACCATCTTTAAAACTTACAGAAATATCTGAAACAATGTCAGTCGCTATTTTTAAAACTTACAGAAATATCCGAAACAGATGTCAGTCGCTATTTTTAAAACTTACAGAAATATCTGAAACAAATGTCAGTCGTCATCTTTAAAGCTTACAGAAATATCTGAAACAAATGTCAGTCGTCATCTTTAAAGCTTACAGAAATATCCAAAACAAATGTCAGTTCTTAGAATTTACAGAAGTATCCGAAACAAATGTCAGTTGCTATTTTTAAAACTTACAGAAATATCCGAAACAATGTCAGTAACTATCTTTAAAGCTTACAGAAATATCCAAAACAAATGTCAGTCCTTACAATTTATAGAAATATCCGAAACAAATGTGAGTCGCCATCTTTAAAAATTTGGTTTAGTTAAGTAATGTTCGTGGATTTTTCTTATGAAATTTCTGTGTGAATTGAGTTGAATGAAAATACTTGTCTGTAACTTGGGCATCGTCCAAGTTTGTTTGAGTGTTAGTCAAACTATCATACGTCCTTTGCTATCTGTTTAAACTCAGAGCTATCTATCGAAACTTAATGATTAGAGTATCAGTTTTTGCTTTAAAGTGTAACACGTCGATAAAAACAACACGATATTTGTCAAAGTAGAAGTGTTTCAGTTAAACAGTTACACGTTCCTTAATATCTGCCGAAACTAACACGTCCCTTATTATCTACCGAAACTAAGAAGTCTCTTATTATCTGTCGAAACTAACACGTCCCTTATTATCTGCCGAAACTAACACGTCCCTTATTATCTGTCAAAACTAACACGTCCCTTATTATCTACCGAAACTAACAAGTCCCTTATTATCTGTCGAAACTAACAAGTCCCTTAACATCTGCCGAAACTAACACGTCCCTTATTATCTGTCGAAACTAACACGCCCCTTATTATCTGCCGAAACTAACACGTTCTTTATTATCTGCCGAAACTAAAAAGTCCCTTATTATCTGTCGAAACTAACAGGTCCCTTAATATCTGCCAAAAGTAACACGTCCCTTATTATCTGTCGAAATTAGCACGTCCCTAAATATCTGTCGAAACTAACACGTCCCTTAATATCTGCCGAAACTAATACGTCCTTTATTATCTGCCGAAACTAAAAAGTCCCTTATTATCTGCCGAAACTACCAAGTCCCTTAATATCTGCCGAAACTAACACGTCCCTTGTTATCTGTCGAAACTAACACGTCCCTTATTATCTGCCGAAACTAACAAACCCTTATTACCTGTCGAAACTAACACGTCCCTTATTACCTGTCGAAACTAACACGTCCCTTATT